GGGCTTCTTTGTGAAGCAAACGGAATTTGGCTCACAACTGGGAGCAGCACAAATCTCGATGCCTTTCAAAACAACATCTCTTTTTGGTCCTTTAGTATGATTAGGTGCTAAAATTTCATATAATCCAGTAGTTGTGGTTGGTTGTGACGAGAAAAGAATAGCCATTGTTTTTGTGTTTTGCGTAAGATACAAAGACTTATTAAGCTAATTATTACAAGTGGTCAACGGTTTATGAAGTTTGGTGCAAGATTGTGATTTTTGAGAGTGGTTCGATTATAAGGATATTGCGTAGACTTGATTTTGGTAGTAATATACATGCAATTTTTGGGAAATAATGCAAACTTTGAAATTTGAATAGTTTATATTTATTTTTTACTAAGAAGGGGTTGACTCCCTTAATAATTTTGACAACTGAAGTAAAAATAAAAAATACGATGGCGGTTTGCACGCAGAAATAATTAAAATTACACATGCAGAAGAATTCAAGCGAATCATATGCACGCAATGTTTAAGTAAATTTGATTAAGTTTCTACTCACTCGTAATCATATACTCCATATATTGGAATTAATAAGTCAAAGTATGCCGGCCATTTTTCTAATTCGTATAAAAATGGGTTAACCCGTTGAACAATTATTGACAGTTGGGTTTGGTTTCCAATTTCACATTTTTTTCCGAGGCGAATCTGTTGGCCGACCCAAATAGCTATGTTTGGCTCGAAAATCCAAATAATAATAATAATAATAATAATAGTTGATTTGGTAGTGGGTTTGCACATGCTTGGTGGGTGTTGGAGCTCATTTTTCCAGCAGATGCTTGGTCAAACCTAAATCAATATTTGATTTTGATTGATTTATATGATCCCAACAATTTATGAAATACTACAAAGACATTATTATTACAGAGAAAAAAAAAACATTTTCTTTTCTTTGATCAAATAAAGCGCACAACTTTGAATGAAGAAAACAGATAGATGACTTACTGCGGTCCTGCAGTGTTCTTGTTGCTTTTACCAAAATGGTATCTCAAAATGATACCAACCAAACGCCCTGACGGAAGAAAAAATTTATGCCCCAAAGCCAAATTATCCCGCGAATAGAACTTCCGATTCATCCTCTTGAACTTCCTTTAGCAGTCTCAAAACCTAGAAACCCCTAAAGTTATTCCAGAGATACAACTTCTGATTCATCCTCTTAAACTTTCTTTAGGTAGTCTCGAAACCTCAAGTCTACAACAAAAGAAAAAAAAAAAGATATTCTGTTCATTTCGGAACTTATTTGCTAACCAAGTCTAGCTTTATCATACAATCAGCATTATAGTATAACCATTTAAACCTTGGAGGAGTATCAACTAGAGGCAAGTCTTTCCGTATGGAGCACAACAAACTACATAACATGACTTTCTCAAAGTAATGAAATGCTCAGCCAATATACCACATTCCTGTCCCACCCTTTGGTGGCAAAAAAGAAGGGGAATTTAGTAAGAAAAAACAGGAAATGGTTTTGATGAAAATTGATGTCCAAGATCTTCATGAGATTATAAGGGACCAAATGGTTCAGGAAGAAGTTCAAATCCATGATCAAAGATGGATCCTTGGTCCGATTTATCATCAAGGCTGTGAAGCCAATTTGAGTTCTTCATATCCTCTTTCAGAAGAATCATGTCATAGCGGGAACTTTCATAAATATCACTGTTGCTCAATTTTGCCGAATACTGAGACTTGTCTTCCTCACCCCCAATTTCAGAAAATCGGTATATGTTTTCTGCAATGGCACCATTACCACTGTTGGATAGACTCCCATTGGTAGAAACTGCTGCACCTGGTTGAGTTTTCTGGTTGGTAGATCGAATGCTTTGAGGAAACAAATTTGAGCCAGTAAGAGGACGAACCCCATTGCTTCCATTTCTTATATCCTGCAGCAGAATTCAAGATCTTTGAGAAATATGAAAAACTGAATATTCCTGTTTCTATATTAAACTCAATAACCACATCTGTCAGGCCAAAAAAACTGGAAAATATGACGAAGCTTGCGTACTACTAACAAATTCAAGCTAGTAATATAAATGATGTACTTGAACACAAGTTAGAGAAAAGCATCAGTGATTTGTCACTGTTATCAATTTCAATCTGTATTCTCATGGACAAGAATTGAGAAAGTGTAAAAGAAGACTCAGGATTGGCACATGCTGATTTAGCAAGAACAGACACACTTCCTTAGCACAATAACAGAAGGAAAATAAGTAAAACAATTCTGTAGAATTAAAAGGGAATTACCATATGTCGAATGGCCATGTCAAGAGATTTCTTTGAAATTGTACGGCCAAACCCAGTAGAGTCAGCAGATGTCTTTACAGGTTTACGTGTCGAAAGCTCTCTCGTTGCATCAGCGAGATGTCCATTGCCAGGTATCCGGCCCTTCCCAGTGGGTTCTGCAAGTCTTCCCCTGCTGACTATTGGTGACGATTGTCTCCTGACGGCAGCAGTATTATTGGGTGGAGGCTCACCATTCCCTTTTGGCCTAGACCTACCAGCAGATATCGGTCTATCAGGCAATGTCGTACGAAGGTTTGGTGGTTTGTCGAGTGGAAAATCGGGGAGCATGATTGGGATTGGCTGAGGTGGGGTCCGAACTCGCGGTGGTCCAGGTGAGCTCGGGCGAGAAATCGAGGCAACACTACTACGCCCATTGGTGCGGGGTCCACCTGGAGTTGAAGGACCAGATAAAGATGGAGCAGAATTCCGGCGAGTGGGTGTTGACGGCCTGGAAGTAGTCCGGGGAGCTGTAGAATTCGAATTTGCTGAAATTTGAGGCCTTGTCGATGTAGGAGTAGACGGTCTTGAGCTTTGGGATGGTCTTGGTTTATCAACTGAAGATGTGCTGAGGGACGGGCGGAGTTTAGCAGGAGTTGTAGAGCGTGACGAGGTCGAAGGCCTTGCAATTGATGAGGAGCGGTTGGTAGGAGTGGATGGTCTCATGTATGACGAAACAGATGCAGAGCTTGTATTAAGGATCGAGGCTGATCTGTTGTTAGAATAGGTGCTATACTGCGAGCTAGAAACAGAAGGTCTTGTCACCGAACTGCTTCGAGTTGGTCTTGAAGCATGGTTGTTCTCTGAATGAGATACCGACAACTGAAAAAAATAAAAAAAAATAAAAAAAAGAATTTTGTAATTAAAACTATTTGCATGAATGGACAAACACAGATCAGGAGCATAAGATAATAGGTGGCATACTTACATGCTTCCTATATTATTTTTCTACATAACAGAAAATTGTAAGTAAAACAACTGGACAAGCATACAATTGAGAGTATAAAACTAACAGGATACACAAGAGTAAAAGCACTGAATTAGAGACTTAAATGATAAAGGAAAGCGTGTTGTCTTACCCGTGAGGCTTTGGTTGTTGATACTGATCTAACCAATGGACCACTTCTTCGAGCCATAAGACCTGTTGAAGATTCATTTCCATCCGAAGAAGAGACCAATGGAGTTCCCGGAGGAGTAAGAAGCCTATATTAAATAAAGCACTACAATTAAGTTCCATTATTGATTACCAAGTAAGCCTATATTAAATAAAGCACTACAATTAAGTTCCATTATTCATAAAATCATCTTCAATTAGCATGATTTTCATATCACTGTCATAGATCACATCAGTTCCTTGTTAGATTTTAAGGCTATAGTTTTGAAAGATCATAGCATGCATTGGAAATCTGTGGTATATATATTCTCTGAGTTATGCTATTGACAACCCATGACCCCACCCATGGTACCACATGATGAAATTACTCAAACTTAAACTAGGGGACCACCATAATGAATCTACAGATAATTCTAACTTAAACATTGTATAGTGAATAAATCTATCATCTAGAAAAGGTATATCATCTGAGTTATTGGCGACGGTGGACATATCCCTCAAAGGTAGCTGCTGAGCATAGAATCTAATCTACTGAGGTCAGTATCTATGAACAGAAGAGTAAAAATAGCCATATGGATTTCAATGATATTTTATTTGCTCTTTAAAAATTGTTTTGTGGCTGTCAATTATAAAGGGAGATATCCACTCTGCATAAGCTAGATCTGATAAATAAAGAGCAGAAGATTCAAGGAAAAAGATGCAAACTTTACCAATCATAATCGTGCTTTCCTCCTTCAGCTGATGACAGTAAATCCTCCAATCCACTCTTTCTCTGATTAGCTGATCCAAGTGACAGTCTCCCCAATCTCACAGGCACTAAATTAACAAATAATAAAAATAATAATTAAAAGTGTATCAGAAGCATAAAGATAATCCAGTCTTGTCGCCGCAGATAGTAGGTAGATTCAGAAGCAGATATGACGGGAAAAAGAAAACCGCACAAAACGACGCCGTTACGTTAATTACTGATGGACTCATTATTTTCATAATGACAAGCAATAGTGCCAAAAAAAGGGGGAAAAGGAGTAAAGGATTTGTTTTTTTCCATCACTTTCATCGAATCACCACCTCCGATTCGACAGTAACAGATGGACAAGAAGAGAAATAAAGAAAAGAAAAAAAACAGCAGGAAAAAGAAGTTTGCGAGAGCATGATAAGTACCATCCGACTCATCGGAGGAGGCGACGGATAGGCTGCGGCGGCTCTTGGAGAAGAGATCCAAATGATCGTCGGCAGAATCCTTGGCATTAGGAGCTCCGTTGAGGCTGGGTCCGCGGCGGTGGTTGAGCAGAGCATTGCTGCGGCCGGCGCCGATGACAGATTCCCTCAAGGTGCGGCTCATGGTGAGAGAAGCTAGAGCAGAAGCATAACCGGCGGCGAGCAGCCCCACGCTATAGAGAAATAAAAAAAGGGGGGCTAAAATAAATAAGAAAACGAGCAGGCAATGCGTAAGAAAGGGACAAGGGAAAATGGAGTGGGAGGGGAGAAAA